TCTCCAGCATCATTTCTATCACCAAGGCCATAATTTCCAACTACTGATCCTTCCTCTTTGCTCCCAACCTTTGCATTCCAATCACCAGTAATGATCAATACATCCTGATTGCATGTTTGATCAATTTCAGATTGAAGAAGTTGGTAGAATTCTTCTATTTCATCCTCACTGGCTTTAGTGGTTGGTGCGTAAATTTGAATTATAGTGGTATTAACTGGGTTTCCCTGTAGGCACATGGATATTATTCTATCACAGACAGCGTTGTACCTCATGACTGATCTGGATATGTTCTTTTTAACGATGACTGCAACACCATTCATCTTCAATTTGTCATTTCCATCATAGTAAACCATGTGGTCATCAGATTCAAAATGGCCAATACCAGTCCATTTCAGCTCACTAATGCCTGAGATATCGATGTTTATGCGTTCCGTTTCATTTTTGACAACTTCCAATTTTCCTAGATTCATACTTCGTACATTCCATGTTCTGATTTTCAATGGATGTTTACAGCTGTTTCTCTTCATTTTGAGTTGTGCCCCATCAGCAAATGAAAGGTCCCATGGGCTTTTCTCCCATGGGCTTTACTCCATTCGCGTCATCACGGTCAACTCTACTTTGAGGAGGCAGCTCTTCCCTAGTCGCATTTTGAGTGCCTTCCAACCTGAGGGGCTCATTTTCTGGCACTATACCTGACAGTATTTCTCTGCTATTCATAAGGTTTTCAGTGACTAAATATTCGGAAATAGTTCGTCACACCCTCTTCCTAGTCTGTCTTCGTCTGGAAACTCATCTGAAACCTGTCCACCATGGGTGACCCTGCTGGTATTTAAAATACTAGTGGCATAGCTTTCAGAATCACAGCAACTCACAAGCCACCACAGTACGACAAAATGACAGACGAGTGGTGGTACAAGATCATAGCATCTGTAAAATGAGAGAGATTTGCTTCTTCTTTGCTAATTTGTTGTTGTTGTTAAGTGCTGTCAAGTCGGTTCCGACTCATAGCAACCCTGTATAGGGTTTCGAAGGAGTGGCTAGTGAATTTGAACTGCAGACCTTGCAGTTTAAATTGATTTTGTGGTCCAGTGTATTATCCCACAGCACCACACCAGGATTCCTTTTTGTTTCCCTTTCTTGCCTTATAGCTCTGACTAACCCTTTCAACACAATATTGAACAGGAGTAATGATAAAGGGCGTCATTGTCTGGTTCCTGTTTGCAAAGGGAAAGCTTTCAATTTCTCTCCATTGAGAGTAATGTTGAAGGTTGGATTTGTATATATGCTCTTAATTATGTTGAGGAATTTCCCTTCCATTCTTACTTTAAGTATTTTTAATCAAGAGTGGATGTTGGATTTTGTCAAATGTCTTTTCTGCATCAATCGATATGATCATGTGATTCTTTTCCTTTTTTATTTATATGGTGGATTACATTGATTGTTTTTCTAATACTGAACCATCCTTGCATTCCTGGTAGGAACCCCACTTGGTCATAGTGCATTCGTTTTTTGATATGTTGTTGAATTCTATTGGCTAAGATTTTGTTGAGAATTTTTACATCTGTGTTCATGACGGATATTGGTCTGTAATTTTCTTTTTAGTGATGTCCTTGCCTAGTTTTGGTATGAGGGTCATGTGTGCTTCATAAAATGTATTTGGCAGTTTTCCAGCCCTTTTGCTGTTCTGTAATAGTTTGAGCAAAGTTGATGTTAGCTCTCTGAGTATCTGTATTGGAAGAGGTATAGTCAGACTGCTCCTTAGAAGTCAGGATGCCCAGACTTCAGGACATCATGTTTGGCAAAGTGGAGGGTCAGCGAAAAAGAAAAGAGATGAATTGGCACAGCGGCAGCAGCCATGGCCTCAAGCGTAGCAAGGATTGTGAGGTTGGTTCAGGATTGGCCAGTGTTTTGTTCTATTGTGAGTAAGGTCACAACTGTGAGTCGGTACCTACTCAACAGCACCTAACAACAACAACTTCTCTGAA